TATTTGTAGACGATTTAAACGCCGGGAATTTCGATGAAATGAGCCGGTGCCTTGTGTAAAATTTTCTCCATTGGCACCCGATTCCATCGGACTTTAAATTATCTATAATGAGCTGAATTATATACTAGTGTGTCGGAGCAGCATTTTAAATAAGGCACGAGCAGATTGCACCGGATTTCACCGGGCTTTAAATTCGGTGTAAATAGCTTGTATGTGTTCTTTTGGGTAAACGAAGTAGGAATATACCGATTGCTTTGATCCTGAGAAAATATTTTTGAAGAAAAAAAAGAATTAATTTCCAAATATTTCTTGGTGCTAAAATTTAAAAAAATTTTTCGGCAAGAATCGACCCATTACTGATTTCACCTCTGTAGTTTCTACCACTACACCACGTGTTCATGAACATAGTGATCAGATCGTAGCTGAACTGGTGATCTCAATCCTTTATTCGCTGACAATACTTTGAAATATTTTTATGCTTTTTCTTCATAAATATTCACACAGGACGAAAGCCAACCGTAGATTCCTACATATTTTTCCCTAATGAACACATTTAAACTATTTGTAGACGATTTAAACGCCGGTGAATATAGATGAAATGAGCCGGTGCCTTGTGTAAAATTTTCTCCATTTGCACCCGATTCGGTCGGACTTTAAATTATCTATAATGAGCTGAACTATATACTAGTGTGTCGGAGCAGCATTTTAAATAAGGCACGAGCAGATTGCACCGGATTTCACCGGGCTTTAAGTTCGGTGTAAATAGCTTGTATGAGTTCTTTTTGGAAAAGGAAGTAGGAATATACCGTTTACTTTCATCCTGAGCAAATATTTTTGGAGAAAAAAAGAATTAATTTCCAAATATTTCTTGGTGCTAAAATTTAAAAAGTTTCTTCGTCGAGAATCGATCCATTACTCATTTGTCGTCTGTAGTTTCTACCACTGCACCACGTGGTCATGAACATAGCGAACAGATCATAGCTGAACTAGTGATCTCAATCCTTTATTCGGTGACAATAGTTTGAAATATTTTTATGCTTTTTCTCCATAAATATTCACACAGGACGAAAGCCAACGGTAGATTCCTACTTTTTTTTTCCCTAATGAACACATTTAAACTATTTGTAGACGATTTAAAATCCGGTGAATTTCGATGAAATGAGCCGGTGCCTTGTGTAAAATTTTCTCCATTTGTACCCGATTCGATCGGACTTTAAATTATCTATAATGAGCTGGACTATATAGTAGTGTGTCGGAGCAGCATTTTAAATAAGGCACGAGCAGATTGCACCGGATTTCACCGGGCTTTAAGTTCGGTGCAAATAGCTTGTATGAGTTCTTTTTGGAAAAGGAAGTAGGAATATACCGGTTACTTTCATCCTGAGCAAATATTTTTGGAGAAAAAAGAATTAATTTCCAAATATTTCTTGGTGCTACAATTTAAAAAATTTCTTTGGCTAGAATCGATCCATTACTCATTTGACGTCTGTAGTTTCTACCACTGCACCACGTGTTCATGAGCATAGCAAACAGATCATAGCTGAAATAGTGATCTCAATCCTTTATTCGGTGACAATAGTTTGAAATATTTTTATGCTTTTTCTCCATAAATATTCACACAGGACGAAAGCCAACGGTAGATTCCTACTTATTTTTCCCTAATGAACACATTTAAACTATTTGTAGACGATTTAAAATCCGGTGAATTTCGATGAAATGAGCCGGTGCCTTGTGTAAACTTTTCTCCATTTGCACTCGATTCCATCGCACTTTAAATTATCTATAATGAGCTGAACTATATACTAGTGGGTCGGAGCAGCATGTTAAATAAGGCACGAGCAGATTGCACCGGATTTCACCGGGCTTTAAATTCGATGTAAATAGCTTGTTATGTGTTCTTTTGGGTAAAGGAAGTAGGAATATACCGTTTGTTTTCATCCTGAGCAAATAGTTTTTGAGAAAAAAAGAATTAATTTCCAAATATTTCTTGGTGCTAAAATTTACAAAATTTCTTCGGCGAGAATCGATCCATTACTCATTTGACGTCTGCAGTTTCTACCACTGCACCACGTGTTCATGAACATAGCGAACAGATCATAGCTGAACTAGTGAACTCAATCCTTTATTCGGTGACAATACTTTGAAATATTTTTATGCTTTTTCTCCATAAATATTCACACAGGACGAAAGCCAACCTTAGATTCCCACTTATTTTTCCCTAGTGAACACATTTAAATTATTTGTAGACGATTTAAACGCCGGTGAATTTCGATGAAATGAGCCGTTGCCTTGTGTAAAATTTTCTCCATTTGCACCCGATTCCATCGGACTTTAAATTATCTATAATGAGCCGAACGATATACATGTACTAGTGGGTCGGAGCAGCATTTTAAATAAGGCCCGAGCAGATTTCACCAGATTTCACCGGGCTTTAAATTCGGTGTAAATAGCTTGTATGTGTTCTTTTGGGTAAAGGAAGTAGGAATATACCATTTGCTTTCATACTGAGCAAATATTTTTGGAGAAAAAAAAGAATTAATTTCCAAATATTTCTTGGTGCTAAAATTTAAAAAATTTCTTCCGCGAGAATCGATCCATTACTCATTTGACGTTTGTAGTTTCTACCACTGCACCACGTGTTCATGAACATAGCGAACAGATCATAGCTGCACTAGTGATCTCAATCCTTTATTCGGTGACAATACTTTGAAATATTTTTATTCTTTTTCTCCATAAATATTCACACAGGACGAAAGCCAACCGTAGATTCCTACTTATTTTTCCCTAATGAACACATTTAAGCTATTTGTAGACGATTTAAACGCCGGTGAATTTCGATAAAATGAGCCGGTGCCTTTTGTAAAATTTTCTCCATTTGCACCCGATTCGATCGGACTTTAAATTATCTATAATGAGCTGAGCTATATACTAGTGGGTCGGAGCAGCATTTTAAATAAGGCACGAGCAGGTTGCACAGGATTTCACCGTGCTTTAAATTCGGTGTAAATAGCTTGTATGTGTTCTTTTGGGTTAAGGAAGTAGGAATATACCGTTTGCTTTCATCCTGAGCAATTATTTTTGGAGAAAAAAAGAATTAACTTTCAAATATTTCTTGGCGCTATAATTTAAAAAATTTCTTCGGCGAGAATCGAGCCATTACTCATTTGACGTCTGTAGTTTCTACCACTGCACCATGTGTTCATGAACATAGCGAACAGATCATAGCTGAACTAGTGATCTCAATCCTTTATTCGGTGACAATAGTTTGAAATATTTTTATGCTTTTTCTCCATAAATATTCGCACAGGACGAAAGCCAACGGTAGATTCCTACTTATTTTTCTCTAATGAACACATTTAAACTATTTGTAGACGATTTAAAAGCCGGTGAATTTCGATGAAATGAGCCGGTGCCTTGTGTAAAATTTTCTCCATTTGCACCCGATTCCATCGGACTTTAAATTATCTATAATGAGCCGAACTATATACTAGTGGGTCGGAGCAGCATTTTAAATAAGGCACGAGCAGATTGCACCAGATTTCACCGGGCTTTAAATTCGGTGTAAATAGCTTGTATGTGTTCTTTTGGGTAAAGGAAGTAGGAATATACCGTTTGCTTTCATCCTGAGCAAATATTTTTGGAGAAGAAAAAAGCATTAATTTCCAAATATTTCTTGGTGCTAAAATTTAAATAATTTCTTCGGCGAGAATCGATCCATTACGCAAAACATTGTATAACACAGTACACGAAAATTATCCGTGTGCAACGAAATTTCTAAAGGACCTAACAGAGGTGAAGAAATTATGAAAATATAACTGCGTACACAGCTTGTTGATGTCTACAAGTTGAATTAAGTTTAATAGTAATGGTATTACTTCAACCGGACAATCTTTGACAATATAGATTGGGACAATCTAGTTTTCACATAGATTCGGTTGTAATATACCATTTCCTGATACATATTTTCCACCCTCCCTCCCCCCACCCGTTTCAATGTTGGAACATCAGATTTTTGTTGGCCCAACGTCGAACTGGGGGGACGGGGTGCCCTATTCCTTTCAAATTATATGAAATTACAGCAACTGTCCTATAGTTTCTGGCAGAGATTGTAGATTTACAGAAAATCTGTATTGAAAACATACAATAATAATTAAGATTTAAAGTTTGTATAATATAATGACCATTGTAAGCAGTAAAGAATAAAATAAGACTGGAATAAAGCATCCTTTTGTATTCAGTAATCCAATTTTGAAGCCAGAATATTTTAATGAGATGAGATTTATAAATCAGTCAAATTCACTGGCATCAGTCCAATCGTCAGCTGTTTAAGCTTAGTTAGACTATAAAGCAAATATCATTGCCTATATGACTTATACGAAATACAGCTTCCAAAGTATCTTCGAAAGAGTTTTAGAACAAACATACACCACATAATGAGGCTTATGGCGGCCGTATTTGATACGTCCCCCCCCCCCCCCCCCCGCCTAAATTAGTTATTCACCGGTTAATTTAGGGAAAAAGAGAGGTTACTGATGAAAAACGCTTATCTATGCAATACTTGTCCTTACCCTCTCGTGACTAGAAACGTAAAGGAAGAGTTAAACATGTTCTCGTACAACACGCTGGGGCCATCCAATATTGCCGCCATCGGCTTCACTTATGCATAGCAGATGCTTCACTTATGCATAGCAGATACTGATTCTGTCCGTGACAGGATTAAGAAAGCTATACGAAAAACCATTAATCGAACTCAAGAGGGGAGTCTGAAGTGCGGTGGAAGAGGAGACCGGAGGAGACATGCTAGAGGAGAACGCGGAGGACATCTACGAAGACGCCGAGGAGGAATTTCACCTGAACGCTGTCAACGCAAGCGATAACCTTGCGGAATAAGCGGAAAGATTGGAAAGTGAAGGAAACTAACCGAACAGGAAAGAAGGGAATTTGCAGGAATAACTGCTCCTAAAGGACCACCGAAGGAAAGGATCAAACACATAGACATTATGATGAAGGAATGGAAGAGTAATCCTGAAAAAGAAACCGATGACGATATACGACAGATCACACAAGGGGCAGTGGACGTTGCCGAACAGGTCATCGACGATGCAAGGCTGGAAATGGGACAGTTGCCTATGTCGGAAGAGGGACAACCCAGGTACAGGGAAATAGTAAGGGACAACATCCGAACAAAATTCGAGAGATTCCGCGTGTGGGCAAAAGAAAACATGTGGGCGGTAGCCGCAATTGCCATCTCCATTGCCGGAATTATTACGACTGTGGTGGTGGCTGGAAAGAAGACCATCACGGGAGCAGCTAATGGACTTGGAGCTGCCGAAAAAGCGTTGGCAAAGTTTACAAAAGCTTCACTGCCAATCCTGGTACCTGTTTTAAATATGTTAAGTACAATCCTAGGTTGGGGAACCAGGGATCTTGCCTTCCTCGCCCAAAATTTGTGGATTGTGGCGATCGTGATTGCCGGAGCTATATTCAGGTATTTGCAAAATAGACGTAAAAAGTAAATACCTTTTTGTACTATAATAAAACATAATGAATTCATGCTTGATTTCCAACGTATGAACAAGGCAGAAATCACCGGCGATAGGACTCGACACGTCCTAACCTTCAACCCCAACTCTGCCAGTCCGAAGAAGAAATTTACGTTAATATTCCAAAACTAAGAGCCGACTCCGTTCTCGTACCGGACAGCATGGCTCTGGCCTTCGGATTTAAGAACAGTAACACAAAATCCTGGTTCAGAAACAACTTAGGAAAACTGCTTCAAAGGAGATTGGAAATTCGCCTCACAGGAGAAAAAGTTTACGATAACAGTGCAGAAAGCTTGCTGGAGGTCTACAAGGACCTATGGTTACACAGGAAACAGCGTGATGACATGGTGGAGGATGGCGTCGCTAGCGAAGCCACGAGGAAAAAATATCTAAAGATGATGCTGCAAACGACGATGTGGATGCCGCCGCATTGTTAGAAGTATTTGGAACGAAACAAAGGATCCGAATCGGTAAAATCCTAAAAGATCATGGACTCTACGCTTCTCACGATATGGCAAACCATCTACAGTACGTCATAACCGTGCCAGCGGCAAATGAAATCATGAACACACAGGGTGGAGAAAATGTGAAAGGGTATACCCTGGAAAACATCGAGTTAGAATACGAATCCATCGACAACATCGAATTGGCAAGAAAAGTGGAAAGTCCGCACAACGCTGGACGGAAGCTGTCTTTCGAACATGTCATCCTGATGAAAAAGACGGAATGGAGTAAGGACTCCACCATTATCAACGAAACAATCAACGTGCCACGCAGAAGCATGAAAGCTATCGTCATGTTGTTTACGAGCAAGACAAATTAAGACAGACAGTGAAGAATATGTTTACCCCAACATCGAAAAGGTTAGGGTAACCGTGGAAGGTGTGCTCAAAGCCGTCTACAGTCAAGGTATTACAAAACCAAGGCTGTACGAAGAGGCAAGACGACTGTTCGGCACCGGTGAAATTAGTCATCAAACGCTAACCAACTTTTTCCAAGACAAAAAGTTTGCGCTGGTCATCGATCTCAGAACCGTAAACGATGTCAGCACATTTGGAAACGGTGCTAAAATTCAAAACACTCAGTCTGGAATACTGGTGGAAATCACGAAAAAAGTTACAACTGCAAACGTCGTATGTCACATGTTCGTTCTTTCCGACGGTTTCATCGGAATTGATAACGGACAACTCACCGGAGTACAGTATTAAAATAATAAAAAATATTTAGGGATCATGGTTTTTCCAAACCTAATGTCGGTCTTTGGTTCTTCTTCGGAAGGTGGTGGTGGTGGTTCAGGTGTTCTTCGGCAAACATGCTTTACGGTCGTCACTCTACCGCTAACGATCCCCAAATAGGGTATGTACGGGGACAGCTTTCCCACCACGCTTTTGATATCACTCCTAAATAGCTTGTCCTGATTTAATTCCGTCTTCAGCTCTTCCCCACTGTCCACCATGTTGATGGCTTCCATAAGACCGGAAAATTTATCGATCAGGGCTTCCGTCAGCAGGATGTTCGCCTTTTCTCCTTGTGCAACGATGTAGTCCTTCCGGACTTTCGTGATGACTTTGGCAGACGCTTTCCTGAGATATTTTTCAGACTGGGTAATTTTCCCTGCGTTGGACAGGCGGATAAGCTCCGCCCCACAGTTCTTCAATCTCCGTATTTTCTGCGGATTCCTCGATGGTCGGTAATTTCGATTCCATCTCTTTTATTACAACATCGGAATCTTTACCTCGTGATTGAACGGATGAACCAGGTTTACCTCAAGATGAGCGTATTTGTTTTCCTTCAGCTTTTCCTTAATAGATCTCATTTCCGCGCTGTCGACAAAAGGATATTCGTCCAAAATAACCTTCATGTCCTGTCTGTTCGGATTATAAAATTTCGAAATATTTTGTCGGTATGGTTTGGCAATGGAAGTCAGTTGCTGAGTGATAACAATGGTGGAAATATATACTCATGTGACGTGCGCTAAATCCAAGATCAACCAGCTCCCCCGTACGGTCCTTCACGGACTTGGTGCTAGCACAGTCGTCCAGAATGATGAGAGGTTCCTTTCCCTTCGTGAAATCCGCGACAAATTTAAGATTCTTCTCCACGTCGTCCAGTCGACAGGGAATGACAAAGAAACTGTCATCCTCGTGAATGAAGTCCTGGTCGTAGGCCCTATTCCAGTGATAGGTGGGACAAATTAAATATATGTTTTCAAATTAATGAAAAAACGTGGTTTTCAATTCCTGGACTCCTGGATGTTAAATGGCATTTTATTTTCCGGTTATATAAAATAAAAACACTATAGCAATGAACAACGAAAACAGAAAGGAAAAATTGAGCGGAGACCAGAAGAAAAAGAAGGAAGTGAACATACGTGTTAAGGTATGTAGGGGTAACCTAACCTTTGGGGCAGATGCAAGAATCGAGTTCAACAGTTCCAACGTAAAAAAACTATAGATATATGAACAAGGGTGAGTGCTGTCCGAAACCCAAACCAAAACCTGAGCTGAAAAGTAAACATAAACCAAAGCCGACGGAAGATAAAAAGAATAAATAAAATTGGGATGCTTGTCCACAAAACCTGAAATCACAAACGGAGCGAAGTACGACAAAAACCACCGGAAAAGAAAAATGTTTAACCTGGGTATCGGTATTGAGCAAGGAGACATCACGATGAGCGCACATACTCAGATCGGTTACGTCAGCGCAACGGTAAAAAAATATAAAAAACAAAAATGATGAAAGTACCACGGAAACTGGTGTGGCTGTGCCTGATCAGCTGCCTGCTGATCCCGGTAACGATTGAGGCCCTTCTCGTCATCGTCACCCTGAAATTACTTTTTCAATTTTAATACTTAGCGGAGCATTAAAATCTTTTTCTTTTTCTATTACTCAATATACTCCCAGCCTAATGCTTGAAATATCTTCTTACACCGATTATGGGGAACCCTGCTTTTCGGAATCTTAAGTAGCGTCTCATCTATCTCTATGTTGAGTCTTTTACATATTTGATAAGTTAGGATGTTCAGGTTAGGGAGCCTCCTCTTTTTGGGTTCCTCTGCATTGTAAACTTTCTCGATATTTTTCACGATCTCATTCCTTTCTTTTCCTGATAAAACAAAATCCGATATATTTCGTCTGCAGAAAAAAACTCTCAAACTTATATCTGATGCTACTTTTGTCCTGACCTCTTGAAATTGCTGTGTCCCAACAATCCGTCCCAGAAACGAAGACGGGATAAGTTTCCAGTCCGCATAAATTGCATGTCATTACTCCAGAAAGACTAATAAGCTGATGTTTGCACGCTTCGATGTCCAACTGCTGTTCGCACGCTTCAGCGTCCAATTGCTGTTCCTTACGACCGAAGTATTCCTTTTCTGCTTGCTTAAAAAGATCCATGTTTTATTTATATCTGGAAAGCCTTGTCTATAAGGTGTTCGATCCTTCTGGGGAATTTGCAAAAGGTGCTTTGAATCCCATCATGCTGTTAAAGGATGGCAAACAGTAAGGTGCTTGTCAAACACCTTCGTACTGTGAAAGGATGACAAACATCGATCGTAGAATATCCTAGAACTGCGGCTCCTGTTAATCTGACTTGACCACAAACGGCTGATGTTCTTCACAACATAATACCTGTCCTCGTGAAAAAACAACGTGACAATCCTGCCACCTTCAACGCAATAATCTTGTCACTGGATAAACCAATCAAATTGATCCCGATGCTGTTGTTCTCCTCGAAATCAAGCACAACGAGCGAGGACCAATCCAGGTTCTCAGATTGCTCTTTAAGAATCTTGCTAACAACGTTCGCCTTTTTCTCCACCGGATGAAGCTGACACAATCGTCACACTTCATGCATGTCGATGACCGCCTTCTTGTCCTTAATCCATTTTGGTAGAGTCAAAGTTTTATTTTACCCCAGGAAAACCTTATCTATAAAGTGTTGATTCTTCCACTTGTGTGTGCGTAAGACATTACGAAAACTTTTGGAAGACCCTATGATTTGATGTTCTTTCCTGGGAACAAGGTTGCCACTTACACATATTAACCAAAAGAGCGACAGTGTGTGAAAACAGATAATAATTTTAGACATTATACTGAACATGCAGTAAATTCTTCTACAATTCATTCTGATATGGTCTATTATGTAAATAAAGAAAATTCTTTCACAACTTGCTCCTCTATGAGTATTAATAGTAGTACTAGTTACACACTTGATTTTATGAGTTTAAGTATAGTTTATTAAAGTCCACTCAGTAGTTAATATTTACTGGTTGCTACGTACTATTTCAGTCAACATCACAAAGAATGAAAACAAGAATTGGGAAAGATACACTTGATGGCCCATTATACAATCTAGTCCTTAGTAAGGATATCATATTTACATATACATATACCGAAGCACGTTTTAGGAGTGGACCGTCCTGGAGGGAGGGGGTGGGGGAGATCCCTGAAAAAAATCAATGTAAGGTCTGAAAGTTGAAAATCATGCAAACATGAATGGACAGGAAAAAATTCCAGCAACTACATAGAATGTTCTGAAATGAATAGAATAAGTTCCCGCACAGCTTTTAAACCGTAAAACGAAGTTCGACAAAACTCCGAACTTTGAAAAAAAATTCCTCCAGGGAAAATATCTCCCCGAATATCTAAGGTCCACTCGTAATATAACCATTTATATACGTACCAAATTGAAATAAAACCAGGCATAAGAAAACCAGGCTCTTCTACAAACTTCTAAGCAGATTGAAATCTAGGGCTTGAAATTGGTGTCTGCCAAAGGTCAAAAGCAACAAGTGGCCGTCTGCACATGACCAAAATAGCCGTCGGTGAATAGCCAAAAACTAGGCATGTTTGATCACATCACAGACATAGAAAAGTAAAGTAAAAATAATTTGCGACTGTCAAATCGAAATGTCAGGCCATATGATGTTTCTATTTCTGGCCCTGAGAATCTAGTGTGCGATAGCAGACTGATCCCACCCGACTCCCATTGGAGCTGCGGAGAAACAGTCTGCGATCATTCAACACTAAGGCCGTACAGTTACGTAAGCAGTATTTTGCATTATTAATTTAAAATTATTAAAAAAAATGTCTAAACCTCTAAGATGGCAGAGGCAACGCAACTATGAATTATTATACATAACAATGTAATTTATGCCATTTTCGACCAGATCACAAAGGAAAATTTCAACCAATCACATTCCGCCACCCGTTGTGCGGGGGCAATTCTACGGCATTAGTGTTGATTGATCGCAGAGTGTTTCTCCGCCGCTCTAGGGGTGGTCGGCTGAGATCAGTTTGCCATCGCAGACTACTGAGAATCGTACTTGAGATTACGACGTTCTTCGTCCCACTAGACTGTAAAAAGCTTTTCGATATATCCTTAAACGCCAAGCATAAATTATGGGATTCATAAAGAAATTCACATAAAGAAGTACACGCGTGTATAGAAGTGCTTTATCATCTATTTCTAAGTTGACTTTATCTGCTACAATTTTATCAAAAGTGTTAATAATTACAAATATCTGAAAGCAGATAAAGTAAGGCACACACGTGACAATAAACACGGACAGGAGAATGGTGACGACCACTGTAACTTTTCTGTGAGCACTATTTCTAATTTGGAGGTGTTGGAAGACAGGGGGAGGCCTGGGACGGGTTTTGGTTGACAACCATGCGGTGTATTTCTCTGCGTTGTAACATCCATACAATATAAATATGGGTTGCAATGAAGCACAGAGCGCTGATTTCCACGATTAAACATATGGCGAACCGCGCGTGGTATCGCCTGTAGTGAATGGTCACTCCAAAGCCGATTGAGAGGAGCCAGACAGCGAGAATGCAACACAGTGAACGAGGGATCGTTAATAATGTTGACCACTCCATTGGTAATATAACCATAATAAATCTTTCGGCTGCCATGAGGATTATAGTGAGAAAGGACGCGCAAAATGCAGTCCACATTAACGTTAACGGAAGTTCTATAAGAAACCGAGCGTCACTCTTATACTTGATCTCTTTGATAGGTGCCACTAGTATTATGATGAGAAATAAACCACTCAGACAATCTGAAAAAGCGAGGTTGGCAACAAGAAACGAAATACTTGTGACAAATAGCTTCTTTCTTTCTTTGTACATTGAAGCTAAAAGAACGCCATTAAGAACGATCGCCAAGATGCCAAATATGTACGACAAAACTTGTACACCA